AAAAAAATTAATTGGGTATTTATTGAGAATTTTTTAAAAGTTTATTGAATAATTATTTGAGATTCTATATTAATTTCCTAGTTTACAGGTCCTACACCCCTTATATTAGATTTAAAAGATACTCTCTTGTCTAATTTAGTAGCCTCACTCTTCATTTCAATAAAAAAAAAAATTTAAAAAGATATTAAATGTTAATATTTTAATTTTACCTTCATTATTTCAAAAAGATAAAATGAGTTAGGATTTTTTATTTAATTGTAAATAGAGGTGAAGGTAGAAAAGATATATAAGTATCGATTAATGTAATAAATAATTAGTAATCAAAAATAGATAAAATGAGACAATTAAATTAATTTAGATGGAGTACTTTTCTTAAAAATTATTAGGTAATTATTGAGGATTTTTAAAAAATTTTTTGGTTATTTATTTAAAAATTATAAGAAAATTTTTATTGTTATAGTAATTTTATAAGAGAATAATACATATCAGTTTTGGCTCTAAAAAATTAAAGTTTTAACTTACATTAAGAAATTAAAATTTTAATTTAAAATTCAAAAATTCATCTAATTATATATTCTAATATAATTACTTCCTAAATTTAGATATTAACATTTAATATGATAAATTTTTAAATTTTAAATTGAATTTTAATTAAATGAAATGATATCATTTAATATTTAAACTCTAATTCTTTTTAAAAGTCGATATGCATTTTTTTTATTTTCTAATATATAGTTAAGATTAACATAAGATAAGATATTAATAAATTTATGTGAACATAAGAAACTTATATGTGGCCACAATTATTCTCTTGATGCTATTCTATCTATTTTAAAATAATTATCTTTTTTTTCTTTAAATTTATTCTAAATTAATTGATTTTTTTATTTTTTAAAATAAATAATTTTTTTTTACTTTAACTCTATTATTATCTATTCAATTTAATTATTTTTTATATCACAAAAATTTCTATTATTCTTTTTAATATTTTAATTTTTTATCATAGTTTTTAATTAGTATTTATCTAATTAGTTTTAACTTTATTTTTTATCTTTAATAATTTTTTTTTACTTTAACTCTATTATTATCTATT